ACTAGTCCATTTCTAGCCAAAAAAAACTCGAAAATATGATGTCTGGGGCTCCTACTCGTCGAGTGTATCAACCTACTCGACGAGTAGGATGATTTTCTTCATGGACTCGGCGAGTTCATCAGTGGATTCGGCGAGTCCAGTGCCCAGAAAGCCAGAAAATCTATTTTTGCAGAATTTTCTTACAACAATTTGCATCAAGTATAATTGAAAACAAGCCTAGGCTCTGATACCACTGTTGGGTTTTGAGCATTCTAACACTTTGAAGTGTACATTTAACCCTAAATACCTTGGATCTATGTTTTCTCTATTAAACATGTAAATATGAACTTTCTAAGGTATTCATCCTAACTAGCATAATAACATTGATTCAAATGAATATATCAAGTTAGAATTACATACCTCTTTGATGTAGATTATCTTCATGACGCTTGAGTGCCTAGTGCCCCAAGTGTGACTCCTCAAATGGTTCACACAACACCAAATACACTTGGAATAGTTTGAGAGAACATACACACTTCATGAAATCGGCTAGCCCTTCCTATCACACATAGTCGCTGATTTCTTGACCCATGGGATTATTTTATATGGTGGCTATTAGGGTTACACCATGTAACTCATAACTTTACCCATTCCTTATGCTCCATGGATTTTAACCTCCATGGAGCATCCATGGGTCACCCCATGGACTTAGTCCAACATAAGGAATCTTGGATCACAAGCCCACATATATAAGAATGAATGATTTACACAATCAACCCATATATTCAATTAGTCTCCTTTTGATCGCTTAATTAATTCAAAATTAATTCTTGATCAATACTAATTAAATAAACTTATTAATATATTAGAACTTATAATATATTAACAAACCTTAAGTGTTTTTTCTCTCATTATAGTCTATCCAAATGCATGATTCCATGTAACCCAAATGGACCATGCCGGGTCGGGTCAAGTCTCACCAATTATAGTTATGGACCTAGACATTAATCCAAAAAACATAACCTCTATTTCTCTTTCTATATCTTCTCTCTAGCCTCCTTAAACCCTTCTCAAGTCTAGGGAATCTCCCTAGCATGAGAAGGAAAACCCAGAGCGCCCGACGGCTCCGAGAAGAAGAGCTTGCGGCTCGGAAACGCTGCTCTAGCGAAGCCTGTTTTTTTAATAGAAACCTGCTGTAAGTGACGTACGCCTACACTATTTCTAATATAGATTTTATTTAAAATATAGTAATGTTATTAGGACCTTATAATAATTATTTGGGCTATCATTATGAGTTGCATAAGTGTTGTTATAATATCTTTTTAACCACTCGCAGTACAGGGAATCTTGTTTAAAGGGCCGCATAGGGTTGTCGGATTTTAGAAGTGCTATATGCCAAAATAGTCCTGCCCTCCGGTGTTTTATGTCTGACTCTTGTCTATACATAGTGTTTGGAAAATATTATTTAAACGCTTATAATAATAATAAAAATGCTAAGAATAATAATTATTCATGGTAAATATTAGACTAAAATCTAGTGGTAATAATACTAGGTTTCATCGAAGGAAATTATATTATTAAGAAGCGAAGCACTGGCTGAGTTTGGAATCATCACTTTAGCAAGTGAGTGCATAGTTACTTTCATCTTACACATAGATATGAAGTATTTTATATAAATTACGTGCCATGTGTGCATATTATCTGAATATTTGTTGTCTATGCTAGATGAATGATTTTATACATGTTTTAAATGATTTAAACTTTATATTTATTTTATGTCTACAAATATGCTGGGATAAAACATGGGTATATGAAATAGTTGATGTGTTATGAAATAAAACAATGAGAGATAGGTGATGATAAATAGGTGAGGATGGATAGGTGATGATGAATCGGTGATGTAGGATGAAAGATACTATAACCTTGTCTGGGAAGTTTGAGATGTAGTCATCTACCAGAGCACACATGGTGACCATGGACTACTATAGACATCCTCGTGGAAACACCAGCAGACTCATAACCTGTAGGTGATGAATTACGAGTTCAGGCGATGTGGTAACTACGTATTCATGCGATGATACTCTGAACCCTTACTATGAATTATGAGTTCAGGAGACATTGTAACTACGTATTCATGCGATGATACCCTAACCCTTGTTGGGCACGTATTGAGAGAGTAATCTCTGAATCAATACTGTCTATGCGACGTAGGCGATGATCCCTAGGGAGAGTCCTTAGAAACAAACATATAAGGAAATGTGATGTAAGGAGATGAGAGGTAAATATGATGTAAGAGACGACCTTTAGAATAAATCGTTAGGGAAGGTACTTAGGAATAAATAAGATAATAGGGATGGGTAATTGGGTTAATTGTTTGCTGGTTAAACATAATAAGTATATTATTGTGGGTTGAAAACCCTATGTACTCACCAAGTTTGCCAACCTGACCCACTCAGTTTACTTGTATCGCAGGTGACGATGTGAAGTTATATTACACTGAGATATTAAGGAGATATAGATTACTAGTGTAAATGAATGTAAGTTCTGTTTATGCTTATGTTTCTGTATTGATGATGACACCCCAAATGTTTTAAAAGGAATAAAAATACATTTCTTCGGAAATGCTCTGATAATGAAATTATCATGTTTTTCTGGGAACAAATTCCGAAACGTTTTTATTGAAAGAGATACTCTGATTTTTATAAAGCATAAACAAATTCTATCTTTTCTGGCCTTGAAAATTGGGATGTCACGGTGTACGGAAATTTCGGCATAAAACTATTAGAAGCACCATGTCCCCGACAACAGTGCCAATTTGGTAACATGCTATCACAAGCGTATTAAGCAAATAATATTTTCACTGCTGGGTGCACTAAATATAGCACAGGGAAGTAGAGTCGAATCCTTAAGGATACAACCTAACAAGAATTAAAACTTAAACATTTATTAAGCTCAAACTGAAATGACTAGATAGAAGCACATAAAGAAATTCAGACCTAATAACTGATCACATGAAACGTACTAGTCTAATGCATAATTTAAAACTAAGGTTTTAGCCATACATAGATAAAAACGAATCTAAATTAATAAAAAGAAACATTAACTAATTACTATTCTAAACTATGTGTGGATGATTCACAATCTTCAGATCATTAGAAAGTGCAGAAAAGTGTCAAAAGTCACCTTCAGAAGGGTGTTTCGTCGCTTGGAACCATCTACCCTTCAAATATGATCATGAGGGACATATTTATATTCAAGAAGGAACCTTTTGGAACAAGAAAGCAGAAAACACGGTTGCAGAAGTGAGATATTCGATCGTAGATTTTCATATTTTTTCTAGATTTCCCTTAAATGAAGTATGTTAGGATATAAATCCTTGAAGATCGATTAGATTCTAAACAGTAAAGAAATAAGGACACAATTGAAGAATCAAGGTATGCTTAATGACTCAAAAATGTCACTCTTAGAAGAACTCGATTAATAATTGCTATTGTAGAGGCATGATTAGGGTTACAAAATATTATCCAAAGTTACCAAACTATGATGCATGCATGCATCTTAAATACTATAACCCTAGAAACAAAAGACAGGTCGATAGGACCAACCCGTGTACAATACATAAGCAAACTAAATAGCCCAAAAGAAGCAACATAATAATCTCCACAATCTCCCCCTTTGCGTCAATTAAGCAAGAGTTCACCTGCTCTGTTGCCCTTGAATTTGTTGACCAGGTCCAAAATAAATTCAAGATAGGAAGTAGTGTACAAATGTTTGTTCGGGAGGAAGAAACATTCTTTATGAAAAAAAGCATCGTTTCGTTCCCTTGCTTGAAATACCACATGCCAACCATCTTTTAAATTTTCCCGAGCTTCAACTTCTCAAATCCTTCCAAAGCTTCTTTAGGGACAACAGAAGGCTTCCTTCGTAGCACAACTATCTCCACATCGACATTTCCCACCTATTGAATATATGAAACAATAATGAGCTTGGTGAGTGATAACAGGCTTGTCCCTCTGTTCGTCTCTTAGCAATAAGTTGTAGAGCATGATCAAGTCATATGGGTTGAGACACCGTAGGTCTGCGAGAGTGAATTCGTGAACTTGACTTGCAGAACCTCTGACAACTTTAAAATTTGCATTTGGGAAACTATCAGTCTCAATTAGTCCAGTGACCCTCACTGTCGTTATCTTGCTAGCACTCCATCTTTCGTACTGTGGCCTTATGTGCTTGAGATAAAACACGAAGAGTAGTTAATCAACATCGTTATCAGTAGATGGGACATTCACAACTTTTATGAAAGAGCAAAACTTGAATGCCTTAGGAGTTATTGGAAGGTCCAATTGTGAGTCTTGTGCAATCTGAAGTTCGAATGATACAACCGGTTCTATCCAATATTGACTTGGTGAGTCTACAACTTCATTCTAAATTCGTTGCAGTGTCCACACACGAAACAAGAGTTTTCCATTTTCAAGTGTGATATGAGCTTCTCTTTCTTCTTTTTCTTTAGCTTCAGCCTCTCGAACAATTCTTTGATTCTCATCTTACTCAGCTTCGCGAGCCTTTCTCCTTTTAAGTTCGTCTTCATCTAGCTCTCCCTCCTCACTGTTATCAACAATTGGTTCTTCAGAGAAAAGCTTTTATTTTCCTTTAGGATTTGATTTGATTTTAATTTTTGGCTTGGCTAATGTCTTCTTTGGTTGACCCCTTTGTTTCAGAATGTTGCTTGATTCCGGAACACCCTCTAAACGATGGAGCATAACGAAGACATGCCTGAGCTTTTCAGCTAGATGTTTTCTAACTATAATAGTGATCATTGAGTCCCTAGTCTCAATGATATCTGAGAGTAAGATAGTAACGTCTGTGATACAACTTTTCATTACCGCCCTCTCAGATAATAAATCCTTGACTTGTTTCTCAGCTTGTTCTAGTTTGACAGTTAGAACTTTAACTCTTTCAGTCTTGACAATGACGAAGTCCATTATCTTACTCTCCATGGCGAGATCTTCTTGAAGCTTGGATATTTAAGAGGAAAGGGATGATTTGAACTCTTCATGATCAACGGTAATGCCAATTTGAACTTCTTGAAGTTTTGGCCTTTCAGCTTTAAGAGAGGAGCCAAGATTATAGATGGCTTCATTAGCTTTTGCTGTGTTGGATTCAAAAGATGTTTGGAAGTTTTTCATAAAAGCTGTGGCATCAGAAATTAGTTTATCGACTCTTTCGGTCGTATTGTTGCAGACAGTAGTAGTGGCATCCACTGCCTTATTCATATTTTCAAGATTTGCTGAATGTTCTTTGGTGAGTGTCTTAAGGAGGGACTTGATTGTTGTTTGAAAATATTCATTAGTTGATGAAGGCTTGGAAGCATGAAGTAATGAATCAAGTTTTTCATGGATGGATTTGAGTTGCCCCTTCGTGACTGGAGCTTCGTCATCACTCTCAGTCATGATACTGAATGGACTGAAGGTAAATCCTACGAATTTGTCTTCACCATCCCCATAAATCATATCCAGTTCGTCTTGGTGAAGTGGGGAAATGAGTGGTGAGATAAGAGTTGTTGTAAAACCTAGAATGTTAGCCCCCACATCAGATGCGTTGACTGAAACAAGAGGTTCTACATACATTGTTGGTGGAGTAGTAGAATCAGAAAATAATGGTGTAGATAGAGGAATACTACCAGGTGTTTGAGAATAGACTGGTGGGGGAAAAAGTGAAACAATTATGAGTGTGGTAGTGGTTGTGGTTTTGGGTGAATAAGGAGGAGATGGAATGAAATCATTGTAAGTTGGAGTTACCTCAGGGTTCGGTGTAACATCTTCATTGCTAACATGGTTATCCTCCTCAATTCGAACATCTGATTGAATATCAGACTGCGAACGTTCGCTTTCGGTCAAAGTTGGGGACTTGGGTTTACGAGCCGTCTTTTTGATCTTTCTCTTTTGGTGCAGGTGAACCAGTATGACCTTTTCGTTTCTTTGGAGCTTGAGTTTGAGCAGATGGACCTTCTTTCCCCTTTGGATTCTTTCCTCCTTTCTTCCCACCTTTTTTACCACCCTTCTTGGGCTTGTCTGCTTCCGCAATAATTGATTGCATCTCTTGAGTTACGGGACGAAACCCTGAAGAAGAAAGTTTCCAGTAGGATTCAAGGATTTTGCTTGCTACAGGCACCTCACGAAACATTTCCTCCAGAATTGATCCAACAAAAGAGAATTTAGAAGTATCAGCAACAATGATCCATGTGGTGTGAAAAGTTGAAATAGATGCCACCCTCGCATCTTGTATCACTGGAATTTGAAGTTTCTCCATGGCCCTCTAAAAGATGATGGTCCAGAAACGTGTACAGGAGTCTTCACTGTGACGTGTGGTAGAGTGGGTGCTCTGAATAACTTAAGCCCATATAACTTCCCCATAATCAACATTAAGACATGTGTAAATGCCATAAATAATCGCCATTAACAGCTTGCTGGCACAATCCGATCCAGTCACTCCTTCATAAAAGGCTTTGAACAACAGAGTGAAGAGGCCATTCCACTGGGGCGGTAGATTAGGTTTACGAAACTTGGAGACGGTGTCTAGTTTGTACCCCATTTGGTAAAACATCTCTAGTAGAGCAGTGTTAGACACAAATTCAGGGTTAATCATGTCGTCTGATTGAGGAAGCCCTAGAAGAGAGCAGGATCATGATTTGGATATGGAGGTTTTGCGGTTGTGGATCTCAAACACAATCCTCTGTTCTTCGTTGATAAAAGTTGCAGAAGAATAGGCTTTAGATAAAACTGACATCGGAAAATTTTCCATCTTGGTGAGTGCAATGGTCAATGGAGAGTATTTCAGACATTCAACAATAGGAAGCATATATCTATCATACTTACACGGATTGAGATCGATCACCAGATTCTGATTTTGCTTAATGGTAAGGAGTGAAGATTGTGCTGTTTGATCTTGAACTGAGGGAGTTTCAGAGGAACCCACCATTTTTGATTGCTTGAGAAAGAAGATGAACAGTAGATGCTTTGATCATTGAAAATCTTTTAGAGAATATGTGAGTTGTGAGGAGAGATGAAGCGCTAAAACCCTTTTATACCTTTTGTTTGGTGAGAGAAATCTGGAAGATTACATTGGGAATAGAAAAGTCTCATGCAAAAGCGCGACTTGACAACTGTTACGTCAGAAGCGTGCGTCATACGGTGGAAAAGGAAATGTCTGTTAAAAAATTCACGCGCCCATTTGAATTTCTAACCAGATAAATTGCAGCGTCAGCTTATACTCTTTCGCAGTTAAGATGTGTTTCACCTGTCACATATGTATATGAGCATTTGCATCATATATTATCACTCTCTCTATCTCTCTCTTATTTTTTAATGTGACACACTATTACTCACTACGACGCTTCATTACACCAATGTCGGGTAACCAGAGTCTCCGGGAAGGAGAGCGAAAATCATGTGTATAGATCTATACGGGACTGACACTCCCACACCCTGACTACTAGCTACAGTCTGCACCGGTAAGGCCCATGGGTGACATGAAGCCATTACTACTACTGCCATTACCACTACGCGTGACCTGGAGGGTCACCGGATACTCTATCGTCGATCAGCATGGTTACACACAAGTTCACATTCACTCTTTGTTTTAGACCTTGCTAGAATTATCATTCATTTAATACTGTTTGGGGTCTGTGTTCACTGTTTTTAGACCTTGCTAGACATATCATTCATTTGATATTGGATGGGGTCTGTGTTTACTCTCGTTAGACTGTGCCAGGCACGTCATTCATTCGATACTCTCCTAGAGTCTATGATTTCTTTTGTCTTAGTTAGTAGTCTTCACTACTGAGGCATATGTTATTTTCCCTGATATTCTCCTACTTTCTTTACAATCAATACCCTATTTTGATAATGATAGTGAAGGGAAAAATCACTTTTTACAACATAACTCCGTCCAATCTTGGTAGAAGACTGCTTTTAAATTAGAAAATATAGGATTTTCTGGATAGGACTCTAATTCACTGTGTACTCTAAAACTACTACTTGTATAAAGTTATTTGAATTAAAATGACACTAAATACTTATGAACTCACCATCATTTGTAAAAATGCTGATACTCGCTTTCAAATAACTTGTATTCTCAGGTCAGCAATAGACAGGTACATCCAAGGAGCTTTTGGTGAAGACAGTTTAGTACCAAGCTACACCTATATTATTACTTGTATTACTTTGATGATGTAATGTAGTGTAAACCATGTAAAACTATTACTATTAATGCAATGATTGTTGTACTTTGATTACTATACTGCATATGTTGTGATACTTGACATGATGTCATCCACCCTAGAACGTTTCCGCCATTCCAGTTTTGGGGTGTGACACCATGTCAACCCTTATTATCATGACCTTTCATTTCCATGACCCATGGGTTCTATAAACACCATGGAGCATCCTATGGGTTGTAGCCCAACTTGATAATCCATGAAGCATTAGCCCACTATATAAGTATGGATGATTAACATAATCAACCCATATATTTAATTATTCTCCTTTTGATCACTTAATTAATTCCAAATTAATTGTTGATCAATACTAATTAAATAATATTATTAATATATTAGAACTTATAATATATTAATAAACCTTAAGTGTTATTTCTCTCATTTAAGTCTATCCAAATGCATGATGCCATGCAACCCAAATGGACCATGCCAAACTGGGTCAAGTACATACCAAATATAGTTATGGACTTAGACACCTTATCCAACAGTCTCCCACTTGGATAAGTCTAATAACTATAATTGCAAGTATGTCTTCAAGAACCAATTACAAATCATAGCTCTTTCAAGGTCTCTCGGAACTGAGATGATGATGATACGCCATTTAAGATAAGTGATCATATAATCCTCCATTCTAGATATCAGCTAGACAAATAAATGGAACTATGTCTTACCTTTTGTCCTGCAGTTGTTTACCGATTTTCGATTTGTTTAAGAAAGAGCTTAATCGAACACATCAATGTAGTTCTGACCGGGCCCGGTACATAGGTCAAAACACAATCATCGAGGGGCGTACATATCGCTTCTAATCCAAGAAGGAACATATAAACTTTGACTCATATACTTGTTCTACTACCTGTTGAATTATACACAAAGGCACGTTTTATAACATCGAGTTACCAATGCGTTTTCGTACAAGCAATGCATAACCAACTCATAAGCAACAAGTCATATCTCTAGGTTTGAAGACTTATATGATATTACCGTCTCACGATCACTCAAGATAAATTCCATGAAATGATACAAGTGAGTGTGGGTTGAATCCAATACTCAGAACTTATGAGAACTCATGAGTGTTGTAGCACCTCTTTGCTATGTCCAACAACTTAGACATCTACAAGCCAACTCATGACAGTCTTGAATCATATCTACTTCCAACATATGACTGAGTATGGAAAATTTGAATAATATGATACACCATAACATAATTATTCTGGAAGTCAAAACATGCAAAATGAAATTATAGTAAACAATTGACAAAAGATAGAAACACTTTACTCATAAATAAACAACAACATTTATTCATCATCAAATGTCAAATACACTTTACAAATTTCAAAGCTATCTAACTACTAAAACGAATATCATCCTTTAGCACTATATGCCTCGCATGCTGGAGATGCTCAACCCTACCCAGTCCCTTTGTGAGGGGACCTGCTGGGTTCTCATCCAATGATACCCTATTTTCCACGAGGAGTCCTTCTTCTATATGATGTCTGATGAAATGATATTTTTTGTCGATGTGTCTGGATCTCCCGTGATCACTTGGTTCCTTGGCTAAGGCAACTGGACTTTCACTATCATAGAAAATTTCCATAGACTCCCTTATAGCTGGTACAACTCCAAGGTCTCCAATGAGGTTATTTAGCCATATAGCCTCCTTTTCTGCCTTGCTTGCCGCTATATACTCTGATTCACAAGTTGAATCAACCACTGTCTCCTGCTTGGAACTTTTCCAAATTATTGCTCCTCCATTTAAGGTAAAGACCCAGCCTGACTGAGAGAGGAAATTATCCCTATCAGTTTGGAAGCTAGCATCATTATACCCTACTACTCTCAATTCATCACTCCCACTAAGAGTAAGGACCCAGTCCTTAGTCCTTCGCAGGTACTTGAGAATGTTCTTCACCGTAGTCTAGTGAGCCTTGATGGGTTTTAGTCATAAGAACATCCTATGTGCTCATACAAACCCTAATGCTTGGATCTAGGTTTCTCTATTGTACATGCAATTAATCCGAGACTATAAACCCTAGATCTAGCATATGATAATCGACATTAGCATAATAATGGGTTTAAGATATTACCTTGATTGTTATGTAGTAATAACAATCTCAATTCCTTCTTGTATTGACTTTAGAAAGCTTAGAGTCACAAATGTCACTCCTCTAATGGTTCACAAACACCAAGAGCAAGAGGATGAAGAGGAGAAGAGAAGGAGGCTGCCCAAAACCGTCCAAAACCCTAGAAGGAAGCTTTTCCACGTTTTTGGGGCTTAAGGGTCCTATATATACATGTAGGCTATTAGGGATTTAAACTAGGAAACCCTAATCTGACTGCTTAAGCCCTAAGCAGCCCATGGATTCCTTTCCTAAAGGCCTTGGACGATTTCTTATGGGTTTCCCCATAGAATTTGTCCAACCTTATAATATAAGGCAATCCGTAGCCCAATTGCAATTATCTTATAATTACAATTCCAGTCCCTTAAGTTTAATTAATCTCTTTTAGTCACAAACTTAATTCTTATTAATTCTTAACTAATATTAATTAAACAATATGATTTCTCCTTTAATATATTATTCTCATAATATATTAATAAATCATATTTAATCCTTTCTCTCCATAATTCATCCTATCAAGTTGCTTTGGTGAAGGCAACCCAAAAGGACCATGCACCATCGGGTCAAGTACATACCAAAATAGTTATGGACTTAGACACTAATCCAACAGTCTCCCACTTGGATAAGTCTAATAACTATTCTGCATATGACTTCAGATCCTGATCTGCAATTGTAGCTTTCCAAAGCCGTTGTCAACTCTGATCCTATCAGATACGCGTGTCCTTTAGATAAGGGATCATATATTCCTCCATTCTGGATATCGTATAAGATATGATTTCAAATCATTCTCTCTT